GTACTTGTCAGAATATGATATCCTTCGGACTGACATGTATCAAACCTCGAGGATGAGTCTTGAACTTGGCTTCGAGCTTCGAGGGTCATGACCGCAAGATGGTTCTATGGTAGGGGAATCAGGCCCCCGGATTCACCGCATACAGATAGTCTCCGCGTTTCTTACAGTAAAGACGACAAGAAATGATAAGAAACGGTTCTGAAACCCCTGTTTCCCCTGGTGCCCTTGCGAATGGATACAAGGTATTAAGGCACATTACACGCATCGTTCCTACATATTTTAGCATTAACTGTGGTGGTTGGCTTCCTTCAATATACCCATGATTCTTTTATATATACTCGTCTCTTCCTTTGTAGATTCCATCTTGTGTTCAAAACCCTTAGTGAGGTCTGTTTCCCTTTGTTCTCACTCTTTCCCAGGGACGCAATCCCCTTTTTCTTCTTTCCTCAGATTTTCCCCTAGGATGACGAATATTTCCACTTCTGCTTCCCAGGAGGCTGTGGTCTCATCTTCTTCGCTTTTCTCTCAAGGCGAAGTGGCCACTCCCCCTCGTACCGAGGAAAGCATTCTGGGACCCTTTGTGATGACCTCTGATTTTAGGGTCAAGAGACCTTCCTCGAATTCAAGGCGTCACGAGGCTGTAACTCGATATATTTGCTCTATAAAGGACATCAAAAGAGCGAAGGCAGACTGATGCTAGGGAGATACCGTGCTCATGGAGATTCCCGCTCGGGATGAGTATATTACGGCTCATAAAGCTGGCTTTTTGAGTGTGTACACCTACCCATTCTCTCTAGGGTCGGTGGGGCTATCCTCCTCCCTGATGGACCCCGTGATTCTCGACTTCTGTTGGAGTTATCAGGTAACTCTAAGTCAAGTCCATCCTTTGTTCTGGAACATGGTTTATATTATCAGGCATTATTCAAGCATGATAGAGGGAATGCCCTTCACCCTGAACCATTTGATCTGGATATATTGCCCTCATCTGCTTCGCGGAGGCTTAATCAAGCTTCGATGTCAAGTCTCGAGGTCCCTTTTTGCCCCTACCGAGGAGTTTGAGGATGATGGAAGGTTAAGCCGATTCATCCGAGTGAGAACATTTGATCTGATTCCAGCAGAAAAGATGTTGTTCCCTGAGAAGTGGAACGCTGAGCGTAAGTAGACGTGGTGCCCTTGTCCTTTCTTGATAATTTTTCTTCATACATCTGACTCTGGATTTCTTGTCTTTTTAGCCGCAGCAATCTACCCTGGCGCGGTGCCGGACTTTTAGGGTTGGGTTGGTTGTTTGCACTCAATCTGCCCGTATACCGACCAAGCGTGGCGGGATTTATCCCGAGCTCGGTGGGAGGCCGGAGGCCCTGGTAAGCCTTGAGTCTTGATGCATCCATGCATTTTGATGTAGCTTGCTGTTAGTAGCTTTCTCAGTACCGTGCATTTTACCATCTGCTTCTATGCAGGTCTAGGAGGGATCCTACTGATGAGGGAGCTGCTGTCCGTTGGAGGGGACATTCTGATGCATGACGAGGAGAGGAAGAGGTGGGAGAGCCTATCGGTTGAGACACTAGATCCCAAGAGGATCAGAGTGGAGGATTCCAAAGTTAACCCATTGGCTCCAGTATGCGGTGAAACGAGAAATCCTCATACTGAAGGTGAGGGAGAAAGCAACTTCTCGGCACCCTTCGTAAAGTGTTTGGGGTTGATTGATCCTCGAGCCATGGGAATAGATGATTCTAGACAGGAGTTTGATGCCGGCATGGCTCAGATTCGTGGTATTGATGCAGTGGATGGGGTATCGAGCACTGACCTTAAATTGATAGGTGGCTGGAGTTCCCCCCGATCCGGCACACCCTTGACAGGTAGTTTGGAGGGACCTCGAGCTGGGACCCGTAATGAACAGAGGATAGAGATTTAGGTTAATCCCGTTGGCCCGTTGGATATCGTTGATTCTCCAAAGGGGGAGATCCTTCCACCTTCCGAAATGCAAGAGGAGTCTCGCGAGGAGCCTTTCGTGGCGGGAGCACTGATCAAAGGTGGAGATGCACTCGGGAGGCCAACGATCATTCTTGAGGGTAATTCCGAGGTCAATGCCTCATCTATTTTTTTGGCGAGATAGGCAGGCTTTGTGAGCGGGTAACTTCATCTAGCCTTGTTTGCTGCTTCGGGTTGCTCCATCCTTGATCCTCTTAACTTTTTTATGCGGTTTCAGGCCGAGGTGCTTTATAACCAGGCCCTCACCAGTATCAGGACGAGGTGAGTCTTTGTTAGCGCAAGAAAGCCCTTTTCATCGAACAAGTTATCCATCCCTTTTTTTCTCTATCATTTGAGCCCTTGTAAAATTTCACTGCTTTTAACTCTTCGTGCCCCGATCTGTGCAGTTTGAGAAGGAAACGCCCTGCTAAGAGGGGAGCTTCGGGCCAGGGACACTGAAATCTCTGAGCTTAGTCGACATGTGAGCGAGGTGTCTTCTGAAAGGGACAACCTCATGGAGAGAGTTACCTTGATTGAGCGTCAGCTTCAGGGCGCGAAGGAGGATAGCGACAAGTATAAGAGCCTTCATTCCGAGTTGGTAGTTGCATTGTTCCGGATCAAAGTTGAGGCCGAGGCGCTTGTATCTTCGCATAGGGGAGGAGCGGTTGTCGCAGATTCCTGCGTAGAGAGGGTGTTCGAGGGGGATGGCCCAATTTTTCCTCGAACCATGGATCACACTTGGCCGGGTTCCTGAGGGCTGACCGTCGAGGGCATATTGGAAGGCAGCTCGAGCGGGGTTAAAAATGGGGGTGGATCCCTGAAGAGGGGGGATGCCGTCGAGAAGGGGCCATCGGGGGATTATTAATCGCCTAGATGCAACCTTTGGGGCCGTTCGTTCGGCGATAGATTAGGATCTGTTATTTTTTCCTGTTGATTTCCCTGTTTGTTGTACAGTATTTTTATTTTGGCATATGTATGAGGAGAATTCTGCGACCCTGTTTCCCTTATTGCCTTTCTGTTTTGGATTCAATAGCGATCGGCAAAAAAACCTTTAGACCTGCGATATAGCCCCGTGGCCTTTTTGGGCTGGCTCGGGAATTGTTGTATTGCCGGTTGATGCAGCCTCCGATGTGAACCGCCGTGAGCTATCTCACATTTTTGCCTTGCCGTCTTGCATTGGGCTTCTAGGCTAGGTTTGTCCCGAGCCTTGTTGATTTCCGCTCTCCCGTGCCCGCACGGTCAGGTGATAACGGTTCTTATCTTTTGCACTTGGGAATTTTGTTGTTTCAACCATTTTGGGTCCAGTCTCCGAGTCGCGATTTGAGCTTTAATTGACCTTAAAGTTCTGTCCTTCCTGCATGGGCGGGCAACAATGGCCTTATGTGTTTCGGGTCGAAGTGACCTTACAGGTGCATGGCCCGGAGGCTTAATCAGCTGGTCGACAATGGCATTTATGCCGGCCCTTTAGGCATTTTGTGGTTTAACTATATCGGGTCCAGTCTCCGAGTCGCGTTGTGATTAGAGCTTTAATTGACCCTTAAGAATTTTTAGACCGGCAATAGTGCCTCTGACGCTATTTTGGTCATTGAAACCTTTTAATATGTGTCCCGGAGGCTTTCATAGTTAACTATTTTGGATCCGGTCTCCGAATCGGGTTACGACTCGAGCTTATTTTAATCCTCAAGTTGTCAATTTTTAAGCTGGCGACAATGGCTCTTATGCTATTTTGGTCATAGAGACCTTTCAATGTGCATCCTAGAGGCTCGTTTGGCTGGTGACAATGGCTCTTACGCTATTTTGCCCGTGGGCTTTCTGTAGGCTCTATTTTCTTCTCGTTAAGGTCTTTTGAAATAATTTTGCCTAACCTATCGTCGGTTCTGGAAGAACCTTGATTTCAAGTCATTATCGGCAATGTTTGAGCACCTCAGAAGGTTTATAGCTCATAGGCTGAGTAGGTCGAAGCCTTGTGATTTGGAGCTGACATGGTCAAAGCTCGTTTTTGTTTGTTGAGGGAAGCCTGTTTTAACCGGTTCTTTTCGAAGTATATTCGAAGTAGTGGCCTGCGATTTTTGTTTAGCGATGGTCGGGCCTCCCCAAGTCGCATTAGTTTGGTTGTATCAGCCGTTTTGACCGTAGTCATGTGTGTTTGGTCGGAACAATTTTGATCCCGAGTGATAGTTCAGGCGTATACACTGAGGGTATGCCCTTTCGGGACTCTTATAGTTTGTCATGCCTGCTGAGGTCTTATAGTTTGTCATGCCTATTGAGGTCTTATAATTTTTGTTGTAATGTAGAATAGATCTGGTTATGCCGAGTCTGCCCGCTAGGGGTCTTAAAGTTTTGGGTTTTCCAGCGCATGGCGATTAATAACAGTCTCCGTGTTATTGAGTTTGTTTAAGCTTGAAAACCGCTTTTTGTGAGCTTGGAATTGCCTTGTAGGGGCTTTATGAACCCGGAGTTCCGACCCTGGGGTCATGCGGGTGCTGAATTGCTGAAGCTAAGTCTTCGAGTATCATGGGATGCGTTTGGTGGAGAGGCCTTCGTCGTGGGCATGTCGAAATCCCCTTTTTTGGAGTACGAGATGCCGAAAGATATTCTTTATTGCTTGGAATAAATACATGCTATTTTGTTTTTGCGAGGTCGGCCCGCACGGGTACGGCTCCTTGGGTCGTTCGACCTGATTCGTTGTTCCCTATCGGAGCCTTATTCGTCTTTTTCCCGGGGCGGGGCTGATTGCGAAAGAAATCTTGCAGGCTCTTCAAATCCTTCTTGGGAGATGTATGGACGTCATCTCGTTAAAAACCTTACTGGCAAAAACACGTTTCGGGGTAAAAAACCTGGTCGAAAGAAAAGAGTGTGATGTTTGTTCGAGGATATGTGTGGGGTTCCTCATCCGGCCACCCTAGTAGTAATACCGCTTTAGCATCGATACATTCCAGTTACTCAGAAGCTGCTCGCCCTTCATGGTACCAAGTTTATAGGATCCTTTGCCAATATCCCAAGGATACGGTACGGTCCTTCCCAATTTTGACCTAGATTCCCTTCTTTAGGGTTTTTGGTGTTGAGGGTAACCTTATTAAGACCAAGTCTCCGATTCCAAAGTATCGGAGATTCGTTCTTCTATTGTAGTATCTTTCGATTTTCTGCTTCTGGGCAGCCATCCGAACTAGTGAGGCTTCCCATCTTTCGTCGAGCAGCTCGAGGGCCGTTGACATGGCTTCGTTGTTTGATCCCTCACTAGTGTGTCGGAATCTGGCGCTTGGTTCCTCGTTCTCCACCGATATCAGTGCCTTGGTGCCATACACTAGGGAGAAAGGTGTCTTTGCCCGGTGCTTATTTTGGAGTTCTCCGATATGCCCACAACACCTCGGGCAGCGTTTCTCTCCAATTTCCTTTGGCGCTTTCCAACTACATTTTCAAGCTTTGAATAATGGTTTTATTTGTAGATTTAGCTTGGCCATTCGCACACGGGTGGTATGGTGTCGACAGGATTCTCTTGATTTTGTTGTCTTCAAGGAACTGTGTTACCTTGCTCCCGATGAATTGCCTCCCGTTGTCGCATGTTATTTCGGACGGGATCTCGAACCGGCATATGATGTGTTCCCATATAAAATTGATGACTTCCTTCTCTCTTATTTTCTTGAAGGCCTGCACTTCCACCCATTTTGAGAAATAGTCAGTCATAAATAAAATGAATCTGGCCTTACCTGGTGCTGTTGGCAAAGGGCCGACAATGTCCATCCCCCACTTCATGAATGGCCATGGTGATAAAACGGAATGTCGTTGCTCCCCGGGCTGGTAGATCATGAGAGCGAACCTCTGACACTTGTCGCATTTTCGGACGAATTCCCTGGCATCATTTTCCATGTTATCCCAATATTAGCCCACTCTGATCACTTTTTGGACTAAGGAATTTGCCCCAGCGTCATTTCTGCAGGTGCCCTTGTGGATCTCCTGAAGCACATAATCCGTGTCGCCCGGTCCCAGGCATATCGCCAGGGGACCATCAAAAGTTCTCCTGTAGAGAACCCCATTTTCGTCAAGTGAGAACCGGGCCGCTTTGGTTTGCTGGGCCCTCGATTCTTGTGGATCCCTGGGTAGCTTCCCGTCCTTCAGATAAATGATGTATTTATTTCTCCAATCCCATGTCAGGCTGGTGGAGTTAATTTATGTGTGACCTTCCTCGACCACAGATTTGAATAGCTAGACGATGGTTCCGAGTAGCAGGTCTTCTTCTTCAGCGGAAGATCCTAGGTTCGCGAGGGCATCAGCCTCGCAATTTTGCTCTCGGGGTACATGGACTAAGGTCCATTCTTTGAAGCGACGTAATATAATGCAATTTGGATTTTGTCCAGATACCTTTGCATCCTGTCTTTTAGGGCTTTGTAGCTTTCGTTTACTTGTCTTACCACGAGGAGCGAGTTGCATTTTGCCTCGACAGTCTCGGCTCCCAAACTTTTGACCAACTGCAAACCTGGAATCATAGCCTTATACTCGGCTTCATTGTTAGTCAGCTTTGTGGTTTTTATGGATTGCCTGATTATGCCGCCGACGGGCGGCTTTAAGACTAAACCGAGTCCAAATCCTCTTACGTTTGTGGCACCATCTGTGAACAGGGTCCATACCCCGGAGGATGTGCCTGATTTTAATAAAAGCTCCTTCTCTACCTCGAGCACGAGGGTTGGCGAGAAGTCGGCCACGAAATCCGCCAGGATTTGGGACCTGATGGCCGTCCGAGGTTGATACTCGATGTCATACTCTCCGAGTTCGATGGCCCACTTGGCAAATCGACCCGACAACTCAGGTTTATGCAGTACACTCCGGAGGGGATAAGTTGACAGGACGCAGATACGGTGGCACTAAAAGTAAGGCTTCAGTTTGTGCGAGGCGCTTATTAGTACGAGAGCCAATTTTTCTAGATGGGGGTACTGGGTTTTGTTGTCCCCTAAGGTTCTGCTTACATAATAAACAGGAAATTGCGTACCTTGCTCTTCTCGGACCAGTATGCCGCTAATCGCTATTTCGGATACACCTACGTATAGGTATAGCGTTTTATCCTGTTTGGGTGTGTGCGGCAAATGCGGGCTGGACAGGTACCATTTCAGTTCTTCTAGGGCGTGTTGGCATTCTGGAGTCTATTCGAAGTTGTTCTTTCTTTTGAGTAGGGAAAAGAAATGGTGGCTTTTGTCCGACGATCGCGTCATGAATCTGCCCAGGGCTGCGATCCGACCTGTCAGCCGTTGAACGGCTTTTACGTTGTTCACCACCGTAATCTCTTTGATGGCCTTTATTTTGTTGAGATTGATTTCGATCCCCCTGTTTGAGACCATGAAGCCCAGGAATTTGCCCGAGCCTACTCTGAAGGCGCACTTCTCAAGATTGACCTTCATGTTGTAGCTTCTGAGGATGTCAAAGGTTTCCTGCAAATGGGTCAGATGGTCCTCTACGCGCAGTGACTTGACTAGCATATCATCAATATATACCTCTATCGATTTTCCTACTTTGTGTTCGAACATTTTATTAACTAGCCGTTGGTATGTTGCTCCCGCATTTTTTAGCCCGAAGGGCATTACGTTATAACAATGCATACCGTATTTAGTGATAAATGAGGTCTTTTCCCTATCCTTGGGGTTCATCTGGATTTAATTGTACCCCGATTAGGCATCAAGGAAAGTGAGGGTCTCATGGCCGGCCGTAGCATCGATCAGGCGATCGATATTAGGCAATGGGAAGGAATCTTTTGGGCACGCTTTGTTCAAATCTTTATAAACTACGCACATCATTAGCTTATTCCCCTATTTTGGCACTACCACTATGTTAGCTAGCCATTCGGGATTCTTTACCTCCCTGATGGATCTGATTTTAAGGAGTTTCACCACTTCCTCTTTGATGAAGGCATGCATTATCTCGGACTACGGTCTTCTTTTTTACTTCACGAGTTTGAATTTGGGGTCAACGCTTAGTTTGTGGGCAGTTATCTCCTGTAGGATACCTATCATATCTAAATGGGGCAAAGCAAAACAATCGATATTATTACTAAGGAATTGAATAAACCCTGCCCTGAGTTCGGGGGTCAGCCCCATCCCCAGGTATACCTTGCGATCTGGGAGGTGTTTGATCAAGACGATTTGCTCCAGCTCTTCGACTGTTGACTTGGTCGCGTCAGATTCCTCGGGGGCGATGAAGGTTCGGGGTACGAAGAAGTCTTTCTCATCGTCTTCAAGGGTCCGCACGCTTCCCCCCTCGTCTGAGGCCGGCAAACGGGGGTTTGCTTCTCGTGGTGGACCATGAACATTTCCCTCGCTGCTCATTGTTCCCATGTATGGTCGTGATGGTATCCCTGGTGGGAAACCTTATCACCTGGTGCAAGGTCGAGGGCATCGCCCTTATGTTGTGTATCCAAGGCCTGCCAAGTAGGGCGTTGTATCTCATGTCACCGTCGATGACCTGAAACTCGGTGTTCTGGGTTGTGCCAGACGTGTCGATCGAGAGGGTGATTTCTCCCTTCATTTCTTCTGTGATCATGTTGAAATCGTGAAGGACCCGAGGGCTGGGAACAACTTGATTGAGTAGCCCTATCTGTTCTACTACTTCTGCCCTAATTATGTTGACCGAGCTGCTTGGTTCCACAAGCACGCGCTTTATTCTAGTGTTATTTGAGAGAAACGAGATTACTAGCGTGTCGTTGTGTGGTTCCATCATAGCTTCGAGATCCTCTTCACTGAATACGAGGGTTTTTCCAGGTAAGCGTTCTCGGGCCGGTCCCTCCTCTGTAGTGGATGTTCTCGCTTGTTTGGACACGGGTCCTCGGGGAACATTGGCTCCCCCAGTAATCATGTGGACACCAGCCTCTAGGTCGGCCATGCCCTTTTCTCTATCGCCTTTAAGGTTCGGCTTCCCATTTAACTAGTCGAGCTAGGCGCTTCGTCCTAAAAGAAGAGATCTTTAGACGAGAAAAAATGTGAAAGATAACGTGCGTTTGTGCAATGGAACCAGCAAGAAAATAATCACTATTAATTTTAGCCCCACGGTGGGCGCCAAACTGTTTACCATGAAAATGGTAACAACAATTAAATTTGTAAATGGGATTCTAAAAATATGTGATCTATTCCCGAGCTAGTTGTTAGAGCAATTGATGCTAATAATATGGAGTTTAATGATGAAATGTAAGCTAAAACAAGATAGTAATCGAACCGAACGGCCTGCTACCCGGGTGTAGGTCTAGCCGATGGGGGACCTCGGGGTCAACGTCAAGGTCGGATTCGAGTTATCGGGGATAGTCGGGGATGGGATAACTGTTGAATATATAATTAAGCAAGACTCGTTACGGCCAATACTAAGCTATATGATAAAGAACAAGTAAGAGAGCGATAGATATTAAGGTGACCTCGGGCCAGTGAGAATAAGTAAGTTAGAAAGAAGAGAGAGAGAGAGAGATTATTGCACTCATGGAGAAAATGGAGCAACATCAGCCGAGCCTATAAAGTAATGGGGATCCCCTTTATATAGGAGGGGAACCCGTTATGGTACAGAACGTATTAACTGTAAAATTATGGAGATAGGACGGCTAGACATGACATCTTGAAAATAGGCCCCGGATAGACCAGCCATGTCAGGTTAAGCCACGTGCCTTGGGAACTTCCTTCACGCCTGTAGTAGTTTGCTGTACTTATCAGAATACGATATCCTTCGGACCGACATTTATCAAACCTCGAGGATGAGTCTCGACCTTGGCTTCAAGCTTCGAGGGGCATGACTGCAAGATGGTTCTATGGCGGGGGAATCAGGCCCCCAGATTCACCATATACAAGTTTTGGCTCAGTTCAGTAGCTTTCTTGGGGCACATGGTGTCTAGCGAGGGTATTCAGGTTGATCTGAAGAAGATAGAGGCGGTGCAGAGCTGGCCCAGACAGTCTTCAGCCACAGAGATTCGCAGCTTTCTTAGTTTGGAAGGTTATTATTGCTATTTTGTTTAGGGATTCTCATCTATCGCATCGCCCTTAACCAAGTTGACTCAGAAGGGTACTTGATTTGTATGGTCGGACGAGTGTGAGGAGAGCTTTCAGAAGCTCAAGACAGCTTTGACCACAACTCCAGTGTTAGTTTTTCCATCAGCTTCAAGTTCATATACCGTGTATTGTGATGCTTAGAGAGTTAGTATTGGTTGTGTATTGATGCAGGATGGTAGAGTTATTGCTTATGTTTCTCGTCAGTTAAAGCCCCATGAGAAGAACTACCCTGTTCATGATTTGGAGTTGGCTGTCATAGTTCATGCGTTAAAGATTTGGAGGTATTACTTGTATGGTGTGTCTTGCGAGGTGTTTACTGATCATCGTAGCCTCCAACACTTGTTCAAACAGAAGGATCTCAATTTGAGGCAGCGGAGGTGGTTGGAGTTCTTAAGGATTATGATATCACTATATTGTACCATCCGGGAAAGGCCAATGTGGTGGCCGATGCCTTGAGCCGAAAGGCGGTGAGTATGGTGAGTTTAGCATATATTCCAGTTGGGGAGAGACCTCTTGCAGTTGACGTTAAGGCCTTGGCCAATCGATTTGTGAGGTTAGACATTTCAGAGCCCAATCGGGTATTAGCTTATGTGGTTTCTCGGTCTTTTTTATATGATCGCATCAGAGAGTGCCAGTATGATGATCCGTATTTGCTTGTCCTTAAGGACAGAGTTCAGTACGATGATGCCAGAGATGTGACTATAGGTGATGATAGGGTGTTGAGGATGCAGGGCCGGATTTGTGTGCCCAATGTGGACGGGCTTCGGGAGTTGATTCTGGAGGAGGCCCATAGCTTGCGGTATTCCATTCATCCGGGTGCCGCGAAGATGTATCAGCATTTGAGGTAGCACTATTCGTGGATGAGAATGAAGAAAGACATTGTGGGATTTGTATCTCGGTGTCTCAATTGTCAGCAGGTGAAATATGAGCATCAAAAACCGGTGCTTGCTTCAGTGGATAGATATTCCAGAGTGGAAGTGGGAGAGGATCACTATGGACTTTCTAGTTGGACTTCCACGGACTTTGAGGAAGTTCGATCCTCTTTGGGTGATTGTGGATCGGCTGACCAGGTCTGTGCACTTCATTCCTGTGTGTACTACTTATTCTTCAGATAGGGGCACTCATTTACATCGCAGTTTTGGAGGTCGGTGCAGTGAGAGTTGGGTACTCAGGTTGAGTTGAGCACAGCTTTTCACCCTCAGATGGACGGGCAATCTGAGCGCACTATTCAGATATTGGAGGACATGTTGCGTGCTTGTGTCATTGATTTCGGAGGGTCATGGGATTAGTTTCTACCGCTTGCAGAGTTTGCTTATAACAACAGCTACCAGTCGAGTATTCAAATGGCTCTATATGAGACTTTGTATGGGAGGTGGTGTAGATCTCCAGCTAGTTGGTTCGAGCCCGGTGAGGCTAGGCTATTCAGGACAGACTTCGTGTATGATGCCTTAGAAAAGGTGAAGGTGATTCAGGAGAGGCTTCGTACAGCGCAGTTGAGGCAAAAGAGCTATGCTGATAGGAAGGTTCGGGATGTGTCCTACATGGTTGGCAAGAAGGTTCTGTTGAAGGTTTCACCCATGAAGGGTGTTATGAGATTTGGGAAGAAAGGGAAATTAAGTCCTCGGTTCATTGGGCCTTTTGAGGTGCTTCGGAGGATTGGGGAGGTGGCTTATGAGCTAACTTTGCCACCTAGCTTATCGAGTGTGCATCTGGTATTTCATGTTTCTATGCTCTGTAAGTATATTGTGGATCTATCTCATGTTTCGAATTTCAACATGGTTCAGTTGGATGATGATTTGACTTAGATGTGGAGCCAGTAGCTATTTTAGGTCGTCAGGTTTGAAAGTTGAGGTCAAAGGATATAGCTTCAATGAAAGTGCAGTAGAGAGGTCGGCCCGTGGACGAGGCTACCTGGGAGACCGAACGGGAGATGCGGAGCAGATATCCTCACCTGTTTGAGGCTTCAGGTATGTTTCTTGACTCGTTCGAGGACGAACGTTTGTTTAAGTTGGGGAGGATGTGACGACCTGGCCAGTCATCTCATGAGTTACCTCTCCGTTTCCCCCATTTCTGCTTCTTTATGCTTTGTGTATCCGTGTTATGTGGTATCGGGTTGGTCGGATCGAATCCGGAATGATTTTGGTAAGTTTTGAGACACTTAGTCTCTTTTGAAGAAGCTTAAGTTGGAAAAGTCAACCGGATGATGACTTATGTGTTAGAGGGCTCGGATGTGAGTTCTGATGGTTTGGATATCTTCGAGAGGTTATTTGGGACTTAGGAGCGCGATCAGAATGAGTTTTGGAGGTTCGGATTAGATTTAGGCTTGAATTGACGAAGTTGATATTTTGGCGATTTCCGGTTGGTAGGCCAGATTTTGATATAGGGGTCGGAATAGAATTCTGAGAGTTGCAGTAGTTCCGTTGTGTCATTTGGGATGAGTTTGCAAAATTTCAGGTCATTCGGACGTGGTTTGGTTGGGTTTTTGATTAAAAGCGTAATTTAGAAGATTTTGGAATTCTTAGGCTCGAATCCGGTGTGAATTTGGTGTTTTCGATGTGTTTTGAGCGTTCCGAAGGTTGGAAAAAGTTTGAATGAGGTTATGGGATATGTTGGCATGTTTGGTTGAGGTCCAGGGGGCCTCGGGTGAGTTTCAGGTGGTCAATCGGACCATTTCATGATGTTTAAAATTGCAAAAAACTGTTGTGTATTGCAGAAGATTTAGATCTTCGCGTTCGCGAGTGAGTCCTCGTGTTCGCGAAGGGTCAGTTGATGAAGGCTGGGATTTAAGCCTTCGCATTAGCGAGGAAGGCTACGCGTTCGCGAAGGGCTGGAAGTTTGTGCTTCGTGTTCGCGAGAAGGGGAGCCTGTTCGTGTAGAGGAAATTGGTCAGCTGGGTTTGAGGTCGAGTTGTTCATCTTGTTCGCGAGAGAGGGAGTGCATTCGCGAAGAGTAAGTCTGAGGAACCATCGTGTTCGCGTAAAGGATTTTTTGTCAAAGTCATTTTTGTGCTTCGCGAACGCGAGGCGTTGACCGCGATCGCGAAGAAGGAATTAAGGCATGGGCAGAAGGTTTAAAAGGTCATCTCGTACGCAAGAAGGAATTAAGGCATGGGCAGAAGGTTTAAAAGGTCATCTCGTCCGCGATTTTGGGGTATATTTCTTCCACTGTTGGTCGTTTTGGAGCTTTTTGAAGGGGATTGAAGAGGGATTCAAGGGGAATCAGTTGGAGGTAAGATTCGTGGACTTAAAACTCGATTCTAATGTGAATTCCACCTAAATAATCATGAAAATTAAACCAAAAAT